ACCCCCCAAAAGTCCAGGTCCTACCCCAGTTTCCCCCAACCTTTTCCTTGGGTTGCTTTAATTAAGTAAATGATGCTTTCAAGTCACCTGCCATTCTCTCTGGAGAGAAAGTATAAGCAACTACAACACCAGCTCTCTGATCTGCCTCATTCACTGGTTCAAATGTGGTTTTCCCCTTCATAACAACATCATTTCTGGGCTCTGCAGGAGAAGGGCCACAGGCAACACTGCCCCCAGACACCTCCTGTGCCAGAGCTGGCTCCCAGTGCCAGCACTTACTGCTACCTGCACTCATGCCTGCATCACCATCACATCATGTTCCCCTTCCATTGCTGACTTATGTCATCACAATCCTGATTTTCATACTTTTGGGCAGTCCACATAGAACTGTGATTCATGAGATGCCCTTTTGTCACCTCCCCTCACCATCCTCCTGCATCCTCCACATCTCCTGCATCTCAACGTAGGGTTGTGTTACCATCCAAACCAGACTTACACCTCTCCACCTCAGCTGTCCTTCCTGAGTAACTCTCATTTGGCCATGACAACAAAAGAAGAACAAAAATGTAGGTGTTATAAAAGTTGAAGGTACTTGGATCTTTAGCACAGCTGAGGGTTGTGAAGGTGTTTGGGCATCGAGACATGTAACAGTATCTGAGCTTCAACAGCTACATTTAGATATTAGCAGTTATAATCCCTCATAATAAAGTGATGACACTGTTTAATCAAGAGGTCAAAATGAATTTAAACTTGTCCCATTTTCTTCTCTTCTCCCTTTTTAAAACAATTTAGCGTAGAGCCCAGTAGATTGTAAAAGATGGATGGAAAACTAGATATTCATGTGAAATATATTCTTCATGAAAAGGAAGAAATTAAAATTAAAAATGTTCCTGTCCTCAGCAGAAACAGGACTCATCTCTTCATTTTTAACTTACCTTGCATTTATGAGACATGAGCTGCAGACAGTAAAGGAAATTGCAGCCTTCCCTTAAAAGCAGTGTTAGCAAATTCTGACAGCTTGTTAAAACCCATGACTGAAGGCAGGGTGATAGTTATCAATCACAGGGACCTCATGGAGCTTGGCCTGGCCTTGCCCTTGGTCATATATCCAAGGTGGGTCATGTGGCTCTCAGTAGGGACATTTCACATGAACAGGTACAGGTTCCTAAAGCTGCCCCAGCATTTTCAGTGCAGGCCACTCGTCTAAAATAAACACAATCATGCCCTACAGCTCTATGTTCTCACACAGTTTAAGTCTGATTTCATGTGTAACATGGATTTTCCAGCATTTACAGTCCAATTCTCACCAGATAATGGAAGTGAAGTGCTCAAAGTCACAAGCCAGTGGTAGACAGAGTCCATAGCAGTGAAATCACAAGATCATATTCCATCCTTGGAATGCTATAGCATGAAATGTGGCTTCAAATGCTGCATCTGAGAGATCTGGATTTCTAAGTGTAATGACCATCTCCAAGCATAGCCCAGGATTTATATTTCATTAATATTCCTAAAATATCCTGGGGCACATTGTAGAAATATGCACCTCTGGAGATTATTTGGTCCAACCTCCTGCTGAAAGCAGCCCCTTAGATTAGGTTTTACAGCTCCATGTAAAACCAAGTCCTGAATACTTGGATTTGAACATGAAATAGTGTGAGTAACACTGTTCAGTTCATGAGCAACTTCACTTTGGTGAAGTCACATGAAAAATTAGACAAAAAGACACTCCAAAGAGGCCATGACTCACCCCCACTGTAGGAAATAGGAAACCTGGCCCCAACACCTGTAAAGCAGAGAAGTATTTGGGTGCTCATTCCACTTCAGATCCTAATAAGGCAGCCTATACGTTCTGGAAAATACATTTACATATTTCATGCAGAAAAAGCCTACCCCTGAAAGTAAATTTTTAATATTTTTTTTTCTTTTTCCATGGTGATGTTATTACCACTTGTACTTCTGCTGGCAGGCAGGTACTGCCTACAGCTGCAAGCAAACGTCAACTCAAACTTTCTGGGTCATCAGAACTGTGATGTGCAAAATGGTCTCTGCAGTTCCCTCATCCATAAGACAACCACGTTAAAGTATTAACACAGTGTCAAAAGTTGTCCCCTGCCCCTTCTTTGGCAGTTCTTCCTTCATGCATAAAGAGCAGGCCAAAAGTGAATGGGGGGAGATTTGAGCTGGCAAACATTGGAGGAGAAAATGTGTTAAAGAGTTGGGACTCTGTAATGGCACAAAGGCCTTTGCTGATGGGGTGGTTATTTTGCTGTGCTCCTAAAGAAATACTTTGTGATATAGGTCTGGTCATTTTGAGCTGGATACACAGAAGTGCCACAGCAACAAGCAGGAAGATCACATTGCCCCATTAAAACTTCCTTCAGATATTTAAAAGTAGTCCAGGAAAAAAGAAAACATCCCTGCAGGCTGTAGGACTGTACCAGATTAGTACCAGAACCAGTTATTGGACCTCAGAGGTCACTTCTCTCCCTCACTTCACCCATTTTCAGAACGAAAGGGAACTCACTTTTTCATTTTTTGCCAGACTAAAATCATACCAATTGCCTTTCATTTTAATGAGCAGTGCAGATGTCTCCTGCATGTAACTAGGATTTCTTATGATTTGTCACATGTAATGACTGAAGGCAACACAGGGGCTCCTTACTTTGGGGATCCTGGTGAGAAAGACTGTTTTGAAGCATTATTCTGGCTGTTTATACAAGTTTCACACAGGAAAGTTGTAGTAAGCTGATAAACACCTTCTTATACATTACAAAGGGTCTAATAAAGATAAATAGATGTCTTTACATTCTACATGATTGCTTACACAAAAGGTGGAAGCAGTTAAAAAGGTAACACTTCCCATGTTTATTTACACCTGTATTCTTATGTACACAAATGGTGGAAACCACTTTTCAAACCCCTGTATTTCATTTCTCAGCTGGTTACCTCACTTATTTCCTCTTTTTAGTAAAACTGTGGAACCAGGAGCAGCCTCCTAATTCACTTTCTACTTACTTCTAGTAAAAGTGGTTCTTTCATGAACACCACTGTATCACCAGGGCCAGGGAAGGCTCAATATTATTTGAATCCTTGTTTCTGTGGTTTATCACAGAGAGAACTTAGATGGTGCTGAAGAAAGCCTTGAATACCCTTCAGGAGGATGTGGTTATTTGAAATTATTATGATATGCAATGAAGTCTAAAGCTTAAATACTTAATATGCTGGTGTCAGTCAATGGCAGGTCCTCATTAACCCACACCCCTTCCCATTTCTTCCTTATTTTAGCACCAGTTGGCATCTTCCCTCATTGGGCCATCCCCCCTGCAAGAACAAGCAACCTGGATTACACTTAGAAACACAAAGGAATATTTGACCTCAGGCTTTCTTCAGCAGGCAGCCCACGGGGTTCCCTGGAGCACGTCCAGAGAAGGGCAGCAAAGCTGCTGAAGGGCCTTGAGAACAAGTCTTCTGAGGAGAAGCTGAGGGAACTGGGGCTGCTTAGTCTGAAGAAAAGAAGGCTGAGGGGAGACCTCATCACCCTCCACAACTGCCTGAAAGGACGTTGCAAAGAGGTGGGTGCTGGTCTCTTCTCACAAGTAACTGGTGATAGAACAAGTGGAAATGGCCTCAAGCTGCACCAGGGAGGTTTAGACTAGACATTAGGAAGAACTCCATCACTGAAAAGGATGTCAGACATTGGAACAGTCACCATCCCTGGATGTGTTTAAAAGTCATCTAGCTGTGGCACTTGGGGACATGGCTCAGTGCTGGACTTGGGAGAGTGGGGTTAATGGTAGTGACATTGAAGGGCTTCTCCAACCTAAGTGATTCCCCCCCTGCAGAGCCACACAGCTTTCATGTAAGGGCCTGACTCTGCCATTACTGACACCACTGGGTTCTCTGTGGAAAAGCTTGGCTCTGCTGATAATTTTCATGAAGGTTAAAGCAGGAGGCCTCTGAACACAGAGGTGCCTTCTCACCACAGCCTGATCACTGCAGGAGCAGCCCCACTGATCTCAGGCACAGGGGCAGCCATGGCAGCAAGGGATGGAGCAGCCTGGGTTTTGACATCACACAGCTTTTAACCTCTTTTTTCCACTTGCACACTGAGAAGGTGAAGGTACAAACAAATCTTAGCAAGTAGCTTATGTTCATGTTCTGACCCTTAGATCCAAAAGGCCATGTAAGAACAGGGTAATTGTAATAGATGTAGCCCAAGGATACATGGGGGCCAAGTTCTAACCTTAGTGCTTTTGGGAGACACCAGACTCACTCATTGACATTCTTCCCATCTACATTCCTTTGCTGGAGAGTCAAAAAACTCAGCTGTGGTTGTCCAAGCTGTGAAACTGCAGCCACAGCCCCCAGCAGCAGGAGCTGCACCACGCTGGGCATGAAGCAATTCCTGTGGCACCTTCCCCCTCCCTAAGAGGACCAGTGGGTAGAAGAATTTAGGTTTGCAAAATGCTTGGAGATGTCTGAAACAGATGTGTAAAAGAGCTACAAACAATTAATTCATCTGGAGCCATTAGTTATTAAGGCCTAGGTTTATTACTATAATCTGTTAAGTGAAAAGCTGGAAATGATGATTTCTAATAGCAAGGTTCACAAAACCAACCTCAGTGCAGCCATCTCCTTCTTAATCTCACATCTCAAATTCAGCCCTTATACAAAGACAGACCTGATTATTTTCATGGGCTAGGAGCTTGCACCTTGCTGGGAGAAAAAAATTATTCCATTTATAAATAGTTAAAAAAAGAGGATGATTGCAGGAAACACAGACTGAGTTTTCTCTATCATCTGATGAGCAGCCTGCAGCCCTAGCATAGCAAATATATTCCTGGTAGTCCTGGAACTGTGAATGTCTGGATTGTGCTCTGACTGAGAGTGCCTTTGCAGAGCAAGGATTGCTATTAGCTGCTCTTGCTAAATCAGGGTGGTGGGGCTGCACCAGCCTGGACCTCTGCTCCACCAGGCTGAGGTTGATGGAAATCACTTACCTGCCTCATCACTTGAATTAGGAAGCTGGAGAGAAGATGTGGTGTGAGAGCTGCCAGGCTGCTTATCCTCATCTTGCTTTGCTATTACTGGGCTTTTAGGTCCTCTGGGTTTGTCCACAAATGCTGGAAGTTCAGAGATAAAGACACTTTGCCAAGGGTATTCAGTACCCAAACAGCCTTCAAGTGTTTTGTCTTTATTAACAGCATCTTCTGTTAAGTCTGCGCTCAAGTTTGATCTGAGTGGAGTCTTGTTTTCTCCTAGGAGCTTTGTTTGAAATATCTCCTCGGTTGGCTCTCCATTAGCTATGCCATCTACTCCATCTGCTGTTAATCTCGACGAACTGCAATTTATAGTGAGGGACAACGCTGATCTATGGATTTTTTGGCGTTTAATTCGGGGCTGCTCAATGCACAAGTTGAGCGACTTGTCTAAATAATAGATGGTGCTTGGGCACTGCTGGGACACCTGCAGGTGGACACGTGAGATGAAGGAAGGTGGGACTTTCTCTCTCCCATCACTGCTCTGAGGACCGTTCTCCTTGTTTCCAGGGTCAAAATGCTGCTTTTGTGGCTCACGACCTCCTTGTGAGCAAGATTCAGGAATCTTCAACTCAGAGGCACTTTGGTTTGCTTGTCCCAGAGCACAGCAGTGATGGAAGGCAGCAGGGACCTTGCTCGAGGTGGGGGACACAACACTGGGCTCTTGCAGGGCCCCAGCTCCTCGTGCTGGGTCACTGGAGCCCACAGCAACACGTCTGGCTGTGACAGTGATGGAGGCAAAGCCTTTCTGCTGCTCTTGGCACCACTTTTCCTCTGCGATGGGAGAGTCCGACAGAGACGTGGTGTCATCTAACGAGGCCTGAACTTCCAGTCTGCTGGGAAGTACCAGAACTGCTCTGTCAAGGTTGACTGAAGCATGGTTAGCCAAAGACTGCTTCACATGACAGGCCCTGGGCTGGGGAACCATGGGCTGCACAGGCAAAGCAGACCCGTTTTCTTTGGATTGATTCTCATCAATCATCTGTGAAAGGACTATCCGTGAAATCAGTTTTGTACTTTGTGATGACAGAGATTCCTGCAAATGAAAAGATTTCAATTACCAACATACACTGTCATAATACATGTAACTGTTCCTCATCTACCATCTCTCACGCCTGACAGTTTGGCTTGAGATTTCTTTTTAACTTCCTATTCCTACTCATTTTTTTTTGTCATTTAAAAACACACGTTCTTACAGTCAGCTCTGAATTATCTGGGAGACTTCAATGAAAACCTTATCACTTGTGCAAAAAAAATATATAAAATCAAAAATGTCTCTTCAGTATTCAAAATGTTATTCAGTATTCATGACTACTGAAAATGTGAGTTTTCAGTATTTAGCCCATTGTTGCAGTTGAGATTTGTGGCTGCTATCCCTGTTTAAAAATGGGTATGTCAAAGGCAGATTCAGACTCAAAACTGTTCTTTCATGATGGACAGCTGGAATTTAAAATGGGTTTTATTTTGGAACAGCAGCCTGAAGGTCCACATGTGCCATCACATGCTGCAGAGGACATGTGGGCACCAGAATCATGACTGCTCTGCAACCTCACCAGTTATAAGCAGAGAAAAACTTCTCTAGGATCCCTCCCACAAGTGTAACATCATTTCCTACAAAGATGCTGGGTACTATTTTAATTCATTAGTTCTCTCTTGCTAATGACCACCACTAGATTAGTGGCACCTATCTAGGATGCAAAACCACATATGTCCAAGACTGATTGACAGTGGCCCAAATTAATTTACCAAATAATCACAGGAAGCATCTATCCTGATACATCAATGGATGTAACAAAGGAGGTGCTTTTACAAGGAGGAAACCTGAGTTTAAAACCTCCTGCTGTTATTTACCCACATGGCTGGTGACAGAAGGCCCATGCTATAAAGCATCTGGCCTGATCTCATTGCTGCTGTAAATTGGCTGACTGGGTTACTCCTGCCCTGTCTTCCTAGATCTCCTGAGCCTACCAGGAAAAAACCTCACTGAACTGGCATGAGAAACTGGAGCATTAGCTCCATCATGAAAGCTCATCCAAGTTCACTGGGGGCTTAGGTGTCATTTGCTAGCTGTGCTGCTCCTGCTTGCTATGAATTCATCTCAGCCCCATCTGGGTGTCCATCATCTGCTAATCAGTGCCAATACTTGACAAGTGGCTCACAAAACATGATATCCTTGTTCCTTGGGGAAAACTGATGTGTATGATGTTGTGACCTCCTGGGTGTCATGGTCCTCCTTCTCAGGGTCTGGGTGCCAGAACTGGGACCCTACACTGAAGCCCATGGGGAAAAGGTTCCCATGCTTGGAAAAAATATGGAAAACAGGCTCCCCTGTAAATCTTGGGAAGGCTGATCTGGGAACTCAAATGGGTAGAGGTAGATCAAGGGTTTATTAACGAGGTGAAATGCCAAGTAAATTTTGTCAACTCTTTAAAGCAGCTGCCTGTGGTTTTGACAATTCAATAATTTCACAGCCCCAGGGAAAGCATTTTCTTCCTTCCTTGTTTCTTTCATGGTTTGTAACAACATTTGCCTCATATTTTCTGCACTACATTTACTTCTACCTACAGGTTTAAGACCCACGCCTGCCTTCCAAAACTCCTGACTTCCCTGAGATTTCTACAGAAGATTGTGCTTTAAGAGACTTTATTTTGGATGCATCTCTCGTGCTCCAGTGGTTAATTTGACATTTTTTTCTTTTGTTAAGGGCTGCACAGATGGAAACATCCTACAAGAGTCCAAAGGCATGTAAAAAATGCTCCTGATTAGCTTCAAACTCATGCACCAATATTTGAAATAATTCTGCTTTTCCTTTTTCTGCCTGTGTATAAATGTTATTCCCTCCTCCCAATCTCTGACTAAGAAATAGATCTTCAAGGCTGGATCCTGTGCTGCTTGGGAGCTTCACTGCATCTTGTGGGGAAAAAATAAATAAATCCCAAAGTAATTGTGGTGAAGTGAAAACCTCAGGCTTTACCTTGGGAACATCCCAGACTGATACTTGGAGCATTTAGTCTCCTGGGGTGTTTTTAACAATTTTTTTGCCCTCCCCACAAAACAAGCAGCTTTTCTCCCCCTCACCAAGAGCACAGAGAATCACAACGTTTACCCATCATTTTATTTGGCTTCTGTGCTGCCCAAGCTAAGCCCAGCTAAACAAATCCAAGCCCAAACACAATGCTGAGCAGTCAGTGATTGTTTTTTTGAATGCGTTCTGCTGACTGCTGTCTAAACATCATTTATTTATTTTACCTTGGCAGAGCTGGGGTTTTGCTCCTCAGCATACTCCCACCAAAGGCCTGTGCGTGTCCTCTGTCCCTCAGTGCCCCATGGCTTTTGTGTCATTCCTGGGGAACAAAACACCACCAAAAAGTAACATTATTTTCGGTGTCCCGAGTTAGGAAATGCGGTTTTAAATGGAGGGCAAGGAGGAGGGAAAGAGCTACTGTAAATGCTCTGGGACCTGGTTATCTGAGGGATCTGATTTCTCCTACTCTCCAGGAGAGACCCTTGAAGTACCCCTGGGATCCTGCTGCAATGATGGGTTTGGGGACAGTCCCACAAAGCGCTCAGGGCTGACCCAAAGCTTGAATATCCCTGTTTGTGATTTCCATGGCTGCAGGCAGGAGTGTGGGGGAAGAAGAATCAGGGGAGATGGTGAATGTGGATTTCAGTGAATGTCACTTTTGTGCAGCCTGCAAAACTGGGAGGACAAATGAGGAAATTGATGGCCTGGATGCTACAGGTTTGATGTCATTGCAACTAAGTCACCTTCACGTTTAAAGAGCTACAGTAATTTTAAATCATATTCCCAAATCCTATTACATCACAACTTTCGTAATTCAGGGTAAACTATTACATCAGGCTCTGATTTTGCCATGTCCTGATTTCTGTGGGCACTGGCCTGTCTGCAGCTTGCTACATAGAACCCATTGCCTTGTAGCAGGGAGACTGGGCTCTTGCAATAATGCATCACATTTGCTGTCAGTAGTTTTGACAGAAACTATATTACTCTCTATTTTGTAAGCTAAACTTAATTTTCAAAAATTCTCTATTTGGCCTGGAATCTGTTGCTGTACAGCAACAAGTTAGACCACTGATAAGACCTTTTGCATTTCTTTTTCTTCCACTTAGCCTGCCACAGAAGTTGATAACTTTTCACTGAGCAGAATTTCAGTTTACATGTAACATTAAATTAACAAAAGAATACTAATCAGCTCGATTTTCAGAAGTGTTAATTAAATCATGTTCACCATAACAGGCTTCTTCTCCTTGGGTGTAGCTAAGAAGACAGGGAAGGCAGAAGGTCTATCCCCCACCAAGAGATGTCCCCGAGTCCCCCCCACAGAACAGCAACCACAAAACACTAACAGGATGTTTGATGAACCATCTGCTTTAATAAAATATGCTAAGATACATCTCAATGTTTACTTGCACAGCTCCAATGTCATTGCATATTCATTGTTGGCATGAAAAAAAAAAAAAAGGTTTGATTTTGTTATTGAGCAAAAGAAGGTCCTGAGCAACAGAGAAAACAGCTGGACCCATTAGCCACAGCATGGAAAAAAAAGGACATCCAGAAAATAGCCAGAGCACAGTGCCCACTACTTATTTTTTGGCAAGGAAATAATGCACAGTTGCAATCAGTGAAACTGCAATGAACCTGATCTAGCACAGGATGATGGTGACTGCTGGCACAACTCACCAGTGAGATGCCCTTGGAGCCTTCTCCTCACCCTGCTGTGGCAGGAGGAGGTGCTGGACTTCCAGGGAGAGACAAAATCCACCTGTGTCCAGAAGCAGAGGGACAGGAGTAACTGCTGGCTGAGCCTTATGGAAAGGTTATTTTCAGTATAGCAGTGAGTTACAAACAAATACCTTCATGATGAAGAGCTGCTGTCTTATTTACTTTTTAAAACAACTAAATTGGGAATATCTTGCAGAGAACAATAAAGAGGAAACTTGAATTGTGGCAAGACATCAAAATCCCCAAAGGTTTGATGAAATAAAAGTGTGTCATTAAAAGGAAAACTTCAAGTTATCAATATTTTCTTCAACCACTTTACAGTAAGAAAACCACAGTTGTGGGTCTGGGTCTGGAGCTCCCAGATGGAGCTGGGAGCTACAATAGGAGGACACCAACTTGTGAATGTCAACCACTGTGCAAGGAAATCCAGAAGGCTGGTGGGAGAGAAATCAGGTCCAGACAAGCGTGTTCCGCCAAGTGGCCTTCCATGAATTTAATTCAAATGTATTTTCAGAACATGAGAAAAATTGGGAACTACAGGGTCAAACAGGAACGAGTCATCAAAGTCCACACAGTTAATTACATTTAATATGGAGGTTGTTCTTATCAAAGTAACCTCCTGGGATCAGCCATAACCAGTAGGTAGGGCCTTCCATTTTTGCACTGATCTCTTGGAGTAGATTAGTTAGTGGTTCCTTGTTTAACTTTAAAAAGTAACTGTTTCTGAAGCAGGAGAGAAAGAATGAAATCAGAAGGAGAGGAAATATCTATTTTCTTTGCTAAATCATCCAGAGTGGAGCTTTGCATTGCATTTTGTACCATTTCCTGTGCAAGGACATTCTCTTATTATTATGGGAAACCTGTTGTTGGAAAACACTCAAACTTCTGGCAACTCATTTAATCTAGTTGCTGAAATAGATTAAATGGCACCGGTGGCAGAAGCTCTGGTATTTGTCATGATATTGTTAAATCTGTTCTTGGAAGTGTTACAGTTGTTAATTCATGTCAACAGAACTAGCAAAAAAAACACCCCAAAATCAAACACAACCCCTGTTAAAAGGAGCTTGAATCTGTGCTAGAAAGGAGGGCACTTGAGGGAGCAGGAGGGCTTAGCTGAGACGTGTCACAGCCAGACCTTTCGTCCCAGGTCTCCTTGCTGACAAAACACAAAGTGCTGCAACTCTTGCTCCACAACAAAATGCAAAGCTCAGTTTCTCCCTGGTGCGAAAGCACGAAAGAAATGGCATTCCAAGTGCTCTCCAGCTCTGTGGGGAGCACCAGCAACTCATTTCTGAGCTGGAATCCTGAGGATTTGCTCAGCCTCCCCAGCACAGGGACCCACCTCTCCCGGTTGCGAACAGGAGATGCGATGAGGAACAGAGGAGCAGTCGCTGCATGTGAACTTTGTCCCATTGCACCTTCCCTCTTTCCTTCCAACCCCCCCCAACAAATCCTGTTTGTTGAACCAAAAGATAGGCTCCTTGGCAAGGAATCTGGACATCCGGCTGCAGACCAGGGTTTTCCTAATTACAGAGTGCAGCTGGAACCAATTCTCCCAGTCTCGAGTGCCTGGATGTCTGCCTCGGGCCAACTGGCAGCTGCCTGGGATAATGATTCAGAAAAGATGTACTTGTAAATCAGCTTGCTGAAGCACAGAGAGATTGCAAAGGTGAGGGTGCTGGTGAAAAAGAGTACTGCAAATATTTGGCAGGCACAGGCCAGCCTGCTTTGCAGCCAGCTGAGGGGCTGGGCAGAACTTGAGACGCAGATGGAAAGAGTCCATGGACAAAGTTGGTTGCCAGTGCTTCAGGTCTTTGCTAGACAGACTGCCACACTGGGGGATGTTGTTTGATGACATCCAGAGTGACACCAGGCAGAGCTGGAATGACTTTAGACTGCTGGCCCTGGCTTCTTCTCCAGTTTTTGTCATGGAAGTTGCATATTTCATTCATTTACTATTCATATGCTGACAAATTTCAAATGCATGTCAGCACTTTTGATGTCCTGGGCTCTGCTCCAAGCTCTCTGTACTCCATACTGACCATGTTTACCATCTCCTCTGAGCCATCACTCCAAAACCAACTCCTCTGGAGGCTCCAGGAACCTCCAGTGCTTCCCTCAGAACACCCTAAAGCAGCATCACAGAACCAATACACTCGTGTGAAAAGGGGGAAACTTCTCCACTTGACAAAAAAACATGTCTTTTTTGTTCATTCTTAGAGCACCATCTAGGACACCTGTGAGAGCAGCCAAGGTCCCTACAGCCCTCAGCACAGCACTCTTGATTACTCCAAAATGCTCAGATTCCCCACTTGGGACCTGGGACCTAAAGGACATCAATGGCTTGGCTGCAGGGTCAAGCATCAGAGTAATCACTCAGCTAACAGTATCTTCAACATCACTTAATGGTTTTTTAAGCCTTTTTCTCCTTTTATACATTATTGCTACTCTAAGTTATCAGCAGATAAACCATATCATTAAAATCAACTTGGAGGAATTAACTGAAACTCTATTCTGTTTAAAACATAACATTTGTTTCCATTTTATTGTGACTTATTTAATTCAAATACCTGAGGAAGCCTTGAGGAAAAGAATGTCATCATTAAAGCTGTACCAGCCTCCCTCTCAGCAAGGGCTGGGAGAGATCAGAATCCCCTCCTTCAGATCTGAAGTGAGTCATCCAGAAAAACCATCCGGACCTTACAGACACATCTAAGATGAAAGCCAAGTCAGAATGAACACCAGAACCAAATCTACATCTTCTGGTCTTCCTCATGTGTCATAAAGAAAGAATATAATAAAATTACAGAAAGCAGTGCCATCTAAAATTAAACTGAACAATGAAGCTGAAGTTCACATGCCCGGTACTATAAGTAGGGACAGACTGGTGAAAATTCCACCTTATAGCAAAGTCCTTGTTGATATTAAATTGGTTTATAAGGAACCTACTGGCAAATGGTTTGTTTGCTTGTTAGTGGAGGGAGATGCACCTCAAGAAAGCCTTGGCACAGGCACAGTCTTGCCATCCTTCACAGACTGTATCCTGAGCCTGCAGAAGTGATGGCAGAGGGGAGCTGTTGGGTTGGCCATGGGCTGAAGGCAGCACCCCAGTGAGGACAGGGCCCAGGCAGGGCAGGAGGGCAGCCCCAGAGCCACACATGGATTTTAATCTCTCAGAGTCTCATAAAAAATACACCTGATTTTAATCTCTGCAGGATCTGACCTTCAGCCACTTTCACGTGAGAAGAGAGGGCAGCTTCCACTGGGACACTGGAGGAGCACAGAGTGTCACCCTGACAGCTCAAACACAGCTAGAAACCACCCTGTGGGGTGGCACAGGGCCAGTCAATCAGCCCCATGACAGCTGAACTTCTCGTAAGAAGCAAAATGCACCTACTTAAAACGGGGGTCAAACAATATAGATTTAAAGAGGGAGAAAAAGCAGCTGCCAACTCCTTCCTTGAAATCTTTCCTGCCATGAAAAAAAGCCAAACCAACACAAAAAAGCACTTTGCCACAGAAGTGAGTACTTGAACACAGGTACACAAAGAAAATAAGATTTTAAGGCAGCTTGCTTGGGAAGATTTTTCAAATTGGAGG